TGTGCTGCACTTTGCTCCCTCGCGGATTCCCAGACACGAGCTGCCTTCACCATCTGCGCAACGAGGAAGTTCTGCCTTCGGGGACGTGTAAACACCCCACGGCAGCTCCAGGGTGGGAGGCTGGAGCAGGAGACGCACACGAGGCGCTGGGGCCGGCACAGCACCATTGCCGGGGTGCAGGGGGCACGCGGGGTGCCCGGGGGTCCTGGCCGTGCCCGGCGCAAGGGGCTCGGGCTAACGCTGCTCCCTTTCGGCCTTGCAGATTCAGGCGCCCCTCTCCTTCCTGCCAAGAGGCTGCCCATGGTGCTGGGAATTGCTGCCGTCCTGGGTTGCTGGAGGGGAATATACTAACCCCGGCTCAGCACAGGTAACCTACTGCAAGGCTGTGCAAAAGGGTAGCATGGATAACAGCAAGTGCCACCCAGGAGGGGTGAATTCTTGGTGGCTCTGTGTGTGACTGCATGTGAAATAACAATACAAGTTTGTTGCCTGCCTTCAAAGTGCTTATGTGCTTGCAGATCCAACAGGAGAAATAACTCCCAGCCTCATTTCCTGGCACTTTCAATGCTGAGCACACACAGCCTACATACAAAGTCTGCATTTACATGAAATAAGTAACAACACCGTTATGCTTTCTTATCTTGGCAGCCTCCGAGTTCCAGGCAGCTCTACAAGAAATATGTGCAGAGGAGAGGAAGGACACATCTCAGGCAGACACCCTATCACAGGCTCACCGAAGTGTGCCGAGACCCACTCCAACACATCAGCAAGTTGCTGATCCGCTTCCCTCCAGAATTCCTGAGGCGCCTCCCCCGTGCGCGGAGACGCATTGCCAGGGAAGCTGACACCGATTTACACCGCGACCTTGACGAAGCCATCCCATAGCCTTGGGTATGAAAGGCCCCTGCGTGAGGCCAAACTCCCGCGGGAAGCATCCCGCGACCCCTCTGCTTTGCTGAGACTTAGGAGACACGGAGCAGGACGAGCCCCTGGAGCCCCATCCCTGCCCGACCCCATCCCAGATGCTCACGTGCCTCTCCCGGCCCTGCGCCTCATCTCAGGGCCTTGATAAACATCTGTTGCCATAGCGAGCAGCCGGAGCGGCTCTCCCTGCACCGGCTTCACCCACTAACAAGATGAAACAAGAGCCGCACGCTCCGCTCGGAAAAACAGGAAGAAAGTGTTTGGCTTGAAACCATATTGGGGGTGGGGGTCAGGCCTGCAGCGCTCCGAGAAAACAGCCCATTAAGCAAACAAAGTGGAGGCTCCCGAAGGGGAGCAGCACGGGCCAGTGCCGCAAATACTGCTGAAAATAGCGTTGATGAGAGTACTGCACAGCAACCTTCCCCGTGGCCGTTCCAGTGATGCTGGCACTTCTTGCCCTGGTCAGTACAACCATGCCCGCTTAACGGAGAGGGAAAACGGGCTGTCACGAAGCTGGTGCCTCCAAGGCACTCGGAGCCGTCAGGTTTCACGAGGAAGCCACACGCACGGTCTGGGATGGGAGCTGCCAGCGCCCATCACAGCGGCTCTGCCAGGGCCAGCTCCCTGAACAACGCGAGCAAGACGGATTCCACAAAACCAGCTTCCTGGTGCTGGATCTTTTTGCTAACAATTCATTTTTGTCTCAGTTGTGAGTGGGAATTTAGCTGCTGACTGAACAGGCTTTTTCAGTGAGCCACAGGCTTTGTTGCATAAATCTCCAGTGAAGGTAGGTATCATTCTGCCTAAAAATCCGACTCTGTGATATCAAAAATCTGGTAGAAACATTTCTAGTGCCCCTGAATTCATACAGCTGCCAATATCCGGGCCCTCAGGGAGCCTGCTTTCTTTTTTGGAGGGAGAATAAAGAAAAAAGAGAATGCATTGAACATTTCTTTGGTACAATTCCGTTTAGAGCAAAGAAAATCCTTCAAACCTTCCATCTCTGAACAGGGCACGAAGCAGGAGGACTCGTTTCCCTGGTCAGAAATCTGTCCATGCTTCTCAGTCTTCACTTCTCATTTCAACTCCTTTCTGACCTTCTCCTGTCCCCCGGCTCGTTATTTTCTTGTAGACACCCAGTCCCGACAAAAGCTGCCCCATCCACTTCGTCAGCAGTTGCTCTCCCAAAGGCACCATCGTTTCTGCCTCTGTCTTTCCAGGCCACCCCGTGGGTTTGGCCTCCCTCGGCCCTCACTGAACGCGGTCCCTTGGCTCCCCGGTGCAACAGCAAGTGTGCCGGGACCAGACTGGTTACCCCTGCGCAATTCCGAGCGCGCCGGGACCGGCTCCCCGTGCAATTCCGAGCGCCGGCGGGCGGTGGCTCCCGCGCCGTGCTCACGGCCACAATGTCCCAAAGCCGCCAGGAGAGCCCCAAGCAGCTGCAGGGCAGCAGCAGCTGATAATAAACCATGTCCAGGAACACGTTGTTGAATGTTAAACTTGCCAGAACGGCTGTAAATGCACCCAAAGTTAGCGGAACAGCTCTCCCTCTGATTTCCACTGGCAGATCCATCCCCAGGGTAATAAACTCCTCCTTGGTTTCAGCTTTAAAGGCCTGCGTGACTTACACGGGAAGGAATTCCCTCTCCTAATGCTGCTCAGCAATAAATAAAAAGCTGAAGCTTCAAATGGAACAAAACTGGGACACTGAAGCTCACAGTCCCAAGGGTGCTGACCAAGCACAAAACCAAATTTTCAGCTTTTGCTGCACCGGAACACACCGGGCAGCGCCAAGGGCTGCCCTGGAGATTAGTGTCACAACCTGCTTTAATCTTCCAGCCACCTCCACCCCTGACAACACATCCCCACAATTACAGACGCTCGGCAGCCGGGGGATGGATTCTCCGTGGGCAGGAGAGGGTTTAGTCCTGTGGATACGTGGGGCTGCGACAACCTGAGCTGCCTCAGACCTTCCTGCCCCACTCCAAACCCACGACCGGTTTTACAGCCCAGCCTCTCCCTTCTCGCACATAACCCAGGAGCTCTCTCAAATTTTGTGTGTTATTCCTTAGATTTTTCCAGCCCTTCCCTTTGCATCTCATCCCTTCTGCAATTTCACGACATGCTGTTTCAGCCGCACATTTAACCAACACACAGAACATGACCCCCCTCGCTAGCAAACGCAGCGCCGGAGCATGCCGGCATGGATGAGGCTCCGCTGCAGCTCCCGCTCCGCCGGGAAGCTCCGCAGCTTCTCCAGCCCCCTGTGATTCATTCCCAAGCGCCCCTGCCCGGGGCTGGGGTCACGCAGCAGGGAGAGCCCTGCTGTGCATCGCATCCCAATTTGCTATGCATTTCCACACCATTTGCTTCCCTTTCTTTTTCCTGCACTAGAAAGATGCTTGCTACGCAGGGGTCCAAACTGCTCCAAGACGGTCAAATAACATCACATAGATATTTATTTATGGCGCACACGCACTTGGTTGCAAAACTAGGGCCCCTCGAAATGCCCGGTCTGGGGGTGGCAGGGGGGTCATGGCAGGTGTCCTCATGCAGTGACAGCCATGGGTCCTGATGCCACATGCTGCCCTCCCCAACTCCAGGACTGTGGACCCAGCTGCACTCGGTGGCAGTGCCCAAATGAGATGCAAATCCCTGTGTTTGGATTCGCTGACACCTCAGGAAAATGACCCCCTCTTGCCCACAACAAACATGGCTCCATCCCCAAAGCCTTCGACATCTTGCATGGGAGCCCAAACAGCCAAGCCTCAGGACACAGGCCAATTGGCTGTGCTGCTGGGAAGGATCCAGTGGGATCCATGGAGCAGCCGCTTCCCTGGGGATGCTCGTGCTCCACCGATGTCCTGCTCCACCTCCTGCTCATGCAGGTTCCTCTGACCCACCAGGAGCAGCATTTATTTCATCAGGGAGGATCTGGTCCTCTGATGAACTGGCTCCATCTCACACTAGATGTCCATGGGCTCCACCTGAGGCCGACAGACCACCAGCTCCGTCACAGCGCACGATATGCAGCATTCCTGGCATTGCTGCCATGCTTGGGAAGAGCTATGAAATTATGTTCCGCCAAATTAGTTAAGGGGGCTGAATCTCATTTTTAAGATGCCAAAGGTTTTCTCAGCGGCTGCAGAGCCTCTTGGACTCGCTGTCACTTAGCTCTGCCGGAGCTGGGCAAGTCCGAGAGATTCCCATGCTGCACATTCCCGAGCTCCACAGGGAAGAAGGAGTCTCTGCCAGTGCTGGGTGACACGGAATTGAACCTCAAGGTGTTACCAGGCCCTGCAGAGCCCCGAGGCAGCGCAGGCAGCCACGCAGCCAGCAAGTCTCACTACTGCCAACCCCAAAGCAGAACCCCCTGAAGCACACCCAAAAACTCAGCAGATTTTGGTGCACAAAATGCAGGATCCTTTTTTATTCTCTTCCTGCTTTTATAATTATTCAAAGACACAAGTTTGAGCTTTTTTAGTGTTTATAGGGATTTATTCTCTTTCCTTTTCCTTTCTTTCCTTTTTCTTTTCAGAGTGAGATTTTTCGCTTACCCACATGGCTCCAGGACCTGGGGCTTTATTAAAGATATCGAATAACAGAGAGCTGCAGTTAATCTGTGGAAGCTGCTACCCCAGAGCTGCCCGTGACCAGGATTTGATGCCCTTCTGCTCTCTCCACAGCCCTGAACCTCTGCAGAGCTTCATCCCACGGCAGCTCGGAGTCAAGGAGGAGGTGCAGGATGCGGCAGGAGCCCCACGCTCTGCGGTACAAGGCGCCCAAGGAACACGGGATCTCATGGGGACAAAACAGCCGGTGCTGCCCATGGGGGTGACGAGCGAAGCTGCGGCCCAGCTTCCCATCAAAGAACCTCCAAAACGCTGCTCCCAAAGAGACTGAACCCTGCACATGTGCACAGAGCTCTCGCAGGCTGCATGCAACGTCTCGCACTCGTTTTTTGCTAAAATTGAAGAGGTGCTGCACACAAAACGCAGAGCCAATCCAAGCTGAATCGGCTTCGAAGGAAGAAAAACTAGAGTACTGGCTTACATTTCTATATCATTTCTGGATAAAAATGATACTTCCAACTATTCTTCCGAGCAGGCAACAAGCTTAAAATTATTGTAAAAAGAAAACAATCCAAGGCAACGCACTCCAGGTCACAGAGTTACCTAACAGACTCCAAAACCTCTCCTGTCTCATACACAGACTCAGGCAACCCCTGTTAACAAACCAGGGATTTGCTTCTTCCCTCTGGCCTCCAGAACTGCGCTGCCGTGGAGGGGATACCCGCAGCTCCGGGGCCAGGGCGCAGCACGGCCTCCTGCGCTCGCTGCTTACCGGGCTGGGGTCCCAAACACATCGCCGAACGCAGGGCACCCCCGTGCCCTGAGGGTCCCGTGAGCTCCCTGCACCCCACTGGCACGCAGGAATTTGGGCAGCA